TGCTGCTACTGCCTCCGCGCTGCTTCCTTCCAGCTTTCTTCCCAGCCCCAGGCGAGTTCATCAAGGCAGAGTACCTACACCTGGCCTGGAGATCCAGCAGCCTCCTCAGCATATAGGCCCAGACATGTTGCTGTGTGGCGTGCTGTTGCCAGCAGACTGACCCAGCAGTGGTGTCCCCAAAGAGGGAAACACCAAACGGATGCTCTCCTTTGGCCTGCTCCTTCAGGATGCCATGCGGGTGAGGGCCTGCCTCCATTTCTTCCTCACCTTCCCCTTGCTGATGTTGGCCTATGCCTGGATTCATGCCTGAAAGGAAGGGTACTGGGCCAAGTGGGCAGATGGTGGGGGTCCCAATCAGCATAGTGATGGGTGGAGGGAAACACGGCACTGGGAGGAAGACTAGCCAGGTAAGGGGAATGTGGCCCAGACAGCTAATGCCTGTACCATATTCCAGACCTCCTTCCACCAACAGTTTGACTGTAGCCATGTCAGCCTGCCCTTGGGTCTCTGGATGTAAGTTTTTGCATGCCACATCAGTGCAAAATCAAACTACACCTCATCCATGATTTTATTGTGGATGACGCAGCTGATCTGAACTGAGACTTGAAGGGGAAGGAATTCGTCTCCCTCCTTTGTGCCCACCAGGGTACTTGATTCAGAACAGATCTTGGGCTGAGGAGCAGGGGTTGCCATGGTTTTAAAGGATTCAATTTCTCTCTCATTCCAAGCATGCTGCCCATCCAATGACTAGTCTGGAGTGTTTGTGCCTTGTGCTGGACCAGCAGAACAGACTGGGGATTCTGCTGGTGTACTGCCCATCCTGCAACACATCGGTCTCCCTACCTGAGCTGATGGAGGTGGTCTCAGATGTGATGCTGGAGTTCCGCAGGCTCTTGGATCTGGTGGACTTCAACATGCATGCAGAGGGCATCCTTTATGGAGCAGCTCAGGATTTCATGGACTGTCCCAACATGTCATTGGCCCAATGGATGTGACAGGGCATACTCTGGACTTGGCCTTTTTGGCTGGATATGAGGTTGATGCTCTAAGTGTGAGGGACTTCAACTCAGTCCCTAGTTATGAGCAGATCATCACCTGGTTAGATTTAGACTCACAGCAGCTTTTCCTCTTCACATGAAGAGGGATCTATTAAGCTGGTCCACCCCCCAGAGGCTAATGGATCTGAATGGTTTCCAGAGGTCTTTAGGGGATTTTCTGGCTGATGTGTCTGGTGCTCCTGATGAAGGCCTGATTCCACTGTGGAATGATGAATGACCCGGGCAGTTGACATGATCACTCCTAAGTGACCTCTGTTGTAAAGCTTAGATGGTACATCCCAGACCTGAGAGCAATGAAAAACTTAGGAGATGGTTTGAGTGCAGATGGAAAAAACTCCCAGTGAATGCCACAGACACCTGGCATGTGCCTACGATTGGATATATTTTGAGACAGTGAAGGCAGCAAAGAAACAATATCTCAACGCCTCAATTCAATCTTCCCTTTGCCACTCAGCAGAGCTTTTCAGGGTTGTCTGAGGCTTATTATGTTCTAGCCCCAGGCACACCTTGGAACCATCTCAGGCCTGCTGCAATTTACTCACTGGGCGCTTTCAGGAAAAAAATCTCTTGCATCCTCCAGGACTTGGACTGCAGTTATAGCAGGTGAACCTGTGGAGATATCAAGAGCACACGCTGGTCTGGTTTCATTGGGAGAGTTTCAGTTGGTACAGCTCATGGATGTGGACAAGGTGGTTGGGCAGGTCCATGCAACCACCTCTGTACTGGATCCTTGCCAGTTCTGGCTTATAAAAGCCAGTAAGAAGGAATAATTGGCTGGGCCAGGGAGGTGATTAATGCCTCCTTGTGAAAGGGAGTGGTCCCATTCCTCCTGAAAGAGGCAGCAGTCCCCCCTTGACCTGGAAGACCTCAATAACTTTAGACCAGTAGCAAGCATCCCTTTCCTGGGCAAGGGTCTAGAGAGGAGGGTTGCCCATCAACTCTAGGCACTCTTGACTGAAACTGATTTTCTGGACACATTTCAGGGGCAGTTCAGGTCTGCTTTTGGCATGGAAACAGGCTTGGTTGCCCTGTATGATGATCTGTGCTGTGAAAGAGACAGCGGGAGCACCGCCCTGTTGCTTCAGCTGTGGCACTTTCAGCAGCATTTGACACTATCCACCATGATGTCCTTCTGGAATGTCTGTCTGAGTTAGGAGTTGGGGAACTGCAGTGCAATGGTTCTGCCCCTACTTGGAGGACCATTTCCTGAAGAAATGGGAAATCAGGTGGAATTGTATTATATGTTAAAAATACTTATCCTTGCACAGAAATATTGGATGATAAGCCTAGTAGCATCTGGGTCAAAATAAATGTGTCAAGGAATAAAAGGAACATGATAGCTGATATTTACTATTAATCCCAATCAAGGAGAAGATGAGGATGACATTTTTGTTAAGCAAATTGCTAGCAAGCAGGTATGATCAGCTACTGACTAACAGGGATGACTTAGTAAATAAAGTGGGAGTTATAGGAACTCTGGGGGGAAATGAGCACAGCATACTTAAGTTCCTGATTTTAAAGGATGCCAAAATGGACTGTAGCCACTCTTGCACTCTGGATTTTGGAAAAGCTGATTTTAATAAACTCAGGATGACGATAAGTAAACTCCTGTAGCAAGTGACCCTAAGGAAAGAATGAGTCCAAGATGGGTGGGATTTTTTCAAAAAGGAAATTTAAAAGGCACAATTACAAAAAATTCTAACAAAAATAGCAGATAACAGAAGAAACCAATGTGGCTTCACAAAAAACGTTTCAGTTGAGCTAAAAATAAAAAGGACATGGATAGAAAGTGGAAGGAAGGGCAAGTGACAAAAGAAGAGTATGGAAAGGTGGCACAGACTTGGAGGAAGAGGTGCAGGGAATTCTGATTAAATATGCAGATGACATAAAACTGGGTGGGATAGCTAATACCCTGGAAGACAGAAATGAGAGTCAAAGTGACCTTGATGGGCTGGAGTTCTGGACTGAAAGCAACAAAATGAATTTTAATAGGGACAATGGTAAATTCTGTACCTAGGAAAAAGAAACCAAAGGCATCATTGCACGATGGGGGAACACTTGGATCAACAATATTGCAAGTAAGAAGGATCTTGGAATTGTTGTAGATCACAAGCTGGATATGCGTCTGCGTTAATAGAAGTATAGCTTCCAAATCACGAGGTACTGGTTCTGCTCTATTCAGCACTAGTTAGGCCCCATCTTCAGTGCTGTGTCCAGTTTTGAGCACCACATTTTGGAAAGATGCAGACAAGCCAGAGAGCCAGATTCCAGCTAGCCATCAGGAAGACATTCCCGACTGTTAGAGTAGCACAGCAATGAGACCAATGACCTAGGGAGGTTGTGAACTCTCCCACACTGGAGGCATTCAGGAGGCAAAAATCAGGGATGCTTTAACTTGGAGTCCTGCAGTGATGCCGGGAGTTAGACTTGATGGCATTATAGGCCCCTGCCAATTCTAATATTCTATGTTTCTGTGTGATGTGGCTGCAAATAGGGCAAATACTATTTATTTATTTAGAGTATTTGTATGCCGTCCCATTGCATAGCCTCGCATAGCCTATTGAGCTATATTAACAGAAGTATCACTTTGAAGTCACATGAAGTACTAGTTCACCTTTGTCCAGTTCTGGCTAGTCCTCATCTGGAGTACTACATCCAGTTCTGAGCACCACCGTTGAAGAGAGATGCAGACAAGCCAGAAAGGGTTCAGAGGCAGGCAACAAGAAAGACCCAGAGACTGGAAAGAAAGCCTATAAGGAGAGCTTGAAAAAGTTGGGCATGTTTCAGCCTTGAGAAGAAAAGACTGAGAGGAGATATAGAATCATAAGTGCCAAGAAGGCTGTTGGGCCCAACCCCTTGCTAGTGCAGGACACCAAGTGAAAACATCCCTCTCAGTTGCATCCTGAATGCTTCTAGTGTGGGGGAGCCCACAACATCCCCAGGTCATTGGTTCAATTGCCATACTGCTCTAAAATTCTGGATTTTTTCCCTGCTATCTAGCTGGAACCCAGCTTCTGGAACTTGGGCCCATTATTCTGTGTACCACACCCTGTGATAATCAAGAAGAGATCCTGTCTTTCATCTTCATGACATCCTCTGAGGTACTTGTAGAGTGCTATCATATATCCCCTCAGTCTTCTCTTATGAAGGCTGAACATGCCCAGTTCTTTCAGTCTCTCCCCTCAGAGCTTGGTTTCCAGTCCCTGGGTCATCCTTTTGTCCTCCTTCGAATCCCTTCCAGCTTTTCTGCATCTTTGGTAGCACTCTAGAAGTACCTGAAGGGTTGTCACACTGAGGAGGCCAGTATCTCTGCTCAATCATCCCAAGGTGCAGGACATGGAATAAATGGCTCTAGTTACAGGAAGTCAGTTTTCAGCTGAACAACAGGAAAAATTTCTTGACCATTAGACAAGAACAGGAATGGAACCAATTTCTGAGAGAAGTTGTGGGCTCTCACTGGAAGCATTTGAGATACAACTGGGCAGCTATCTGAAAGGGATGCTTCAACCTGGAGACTTACACTGAGCAGGGGGATGGACCCAAGGACCTTCTTGGACCTTTTGAACTCTACCATTCAATGATTCTATAATTTATGCAGAAACTAGCTGACCTTCAGTCAATTATGCTGCATCTGCACTCTGTAGTGCAAAGGCTGCACTGAGAAGGGGATTTAACGGTATTTTCCTAAAGATCTGTACCAGCTCTGTAATTCGATGAGAACTACCCATTCCTGTGTACCAAAATATTCTCCTTAAATCTCTAAAGGTTTTACATGCTGTTAAATTCTGTTGTGTTTCCATGACTGAAAAAAATCTCAGCCTTGTACAGAATTACCAAAAGAAGTACTTGCTGGTTCTTTTTACAGGTGACCCTGTTCTGTAGAGCTACTTCTTCATTTCCTCAGCTCTCCCGACATCATACCACTCACCTTAGCATACCACAATGGAATCTAAGGTCTCTGAAGGTGGCCTGAATGTAACTCTCACAATTCGGCTGTTGATGCATGGGAAGGTGAGTGGTAGGCCAATGTTACCTAGAGATCTTTCTGTATTGTGCTAATATTTTTTGAACATTTACATGAAACCCCTGGAGAAAGTCATCCAGAGTTATGGGATGAGCTGTCATTAATACGCAGATGACATGTTACTCCACATTTTATTTCCATTTGGTCATCCCAGAGTGACTGTGAAACTCCCAGAACCAATATCTGGAGGTAATTTTCAGATAGATGAAAGCAAACAAGATGGATGTATTGTGGGTAAGGACACCAAGCACTTGGACAGAGACTCGCAATCAGTCCTAGTTGGGTGTGTTCCTATATAGGCACCACATATGTGGTTCTGGGCTCGGCACTAAAAAGAGAATTCAAGTGTGGGCGGCAGCCACAGGTACTTTTTACTAGTTTATGAGGGGCATTCAATGTATTCTCGGTATCAGGTTGATTTGCTATTGATGTGGGTAATTTAATTATTTCATTAGCTAATGACACTATCTAAGGGTATACATGCAAAATTTCAAATAAGTGTCCTCATTAGTTCCCTAGTAATCCTCAGTGAAAGACAACCATAATGACTGATGTGACAATGTTGAAGAAAATCGAGCACTGCACTGTGATTAAGTTCCTAACAAAACAAGGAAAAAGTCAAAAAATCATTCACGAAGAGATGGTGGCCATTTATCAGGACTCTGCACCATCATTATCTACTGTTCAAAAGTGGTCAAGTGAATTTAAAAGGGGCAGAGAAAGCACTGAAGACGACCCTCGCTCGGGTGGGCCAGTTACTGCCACTATGAAAGAAAATGTGAAAAAAAATGAGAAAATTGTATTGGAAGATGCCTGAATAAAAATCAAAATGTTAGCAGAGATGACAAACCTATCTGTTGGTACCATATTTACTATTTTTCATGACCATCTTAACCTTTCAATGGTCTGTGCAATATGGGTGCCGCGAATGCTCATGGCACCTCAGAAACAAGTGCGAGTTGAGTGCTGTAGGGAGTTTTTAGAGCTCTGTGGTGAAGATCCATCGAGTATTTTTGACTGGATTGTTACTGGAGATGAAACCTGGGTTCATCACTATGACCCTGAAAGTAAGCAGGAGTGCATGCAGTGGCATAAAAATGGTGCTGACCCTCCGAAGAAATTCAAAGTCACTCCATTGGCCGGAAAAATCATGGCCACAGTGTTTTGGGACTCAAAGGGAATTTTATTGATCGAGTACACGGAAAAAGGTGAAACCATAAACGCAGCATCTTACGCAACCACTCTGCGTAATTTAAGAGAAGCAATTAAAGAAAAAAGGTGGGGAAAACTGACCGCAGGTGTGTTGCTTCTTCATGACAACACACCTGTTCACACGGTGTGTGTTTCGAAGGCTGCTGTGCGAGATTGATTTGGAAGAAATAAACCACCCACCCTATAGCCCGGACCTGGCCTCCAGTGACTACTACCTATTCCCGAATTTAAAAAAAGATCTTCGTGGAAAGCGATTTTCTGACAATTAAGAGCTCAAGGCAGCAATTAATGCACATTTTTTAGACAAGGAGGAAGGGTATTTTTTACAGGGAACTGAAAAGTTAATTTCTAGCTGTAATAAGTGTATTGAGGTTATGGGGATTACACTGAAAAATAAAAATTATTTCAATTTATTATTCCTTTTTCTTCATGCTGATAGCAAGAATGCATTGAACGCCCCTTGTAGGCTGGTCTGCCAACTGCAGCCCTGTCTAGAGGCTGAGCCTCATTTCAGGTATCAATGTTCAAGTAACAACTAGGCTGGATTACTGTAATCCAACTCCTACATGGAGTTCCCCTACAGATGGTTAGGAAATGTCAGTTCATGCAAAATGCAGCCACTTGCGTATCACTAGATAGTAGGCAGTCAGATTGTATTGTTCCTGTATTGTACCAACCACATGAACCAGCAGTATGTCCTCTGGCCTAATTTTACATATCCATTTATTTATGACCCTAAACAGTTTGAGTCCAGGTTGTGGAATGACCTCTCTAGAGAGGCCTACCTGGCACCTACATGGTGTTCTTTTTGGAGTTAGTTAAAGATCTTTTACATTTCTGCTGACCTTTTAGCTCTTCACTTTTAAAAACCAAACTGGTGCATTTTTAGATCATTGCCCCATTGCTGGCTTTTGTCTTGGCCACTACTTCAGTTTTATTCTGTTTTAAACGTGTGTTTCTATACTATGTTTTACCCTGATGTATGCTTTGACTGGCAAACAGCACAGCGTCCCGGCTACTGTGTGATATGAACATGCAATGAATGATAAATGGCTGCCTCACCGGATGGCCTGCTGGACCAGGAGAAGCCAGCATGAGGGGTGCCCACTTGTGTGCCTGCCTCCCAAAGCAATGCAGCAGGCAGGTGTGAGGGCCACCTCAGCAGCGCCCTCCTGCACCTGAAGCTTCATCCCAGGTGGCGCCCACCAAGTCTCCTCACGGCAGGCTCTCATGTGGTCCCGAAGGACTGGTTTATTTATGCTGATCTATGCCTTATTTGGGAATGTTTGGGGTGCCATAATGTATGTAGTGTGATCTAGTTTTAATTTTGATGTTTTTTTATTGTCATTTTTATTGTGTTTTGTGATTATAAATTTTGAACAGCGCCTCGAGAGGATGTTGTCCTAAAGATGGTTTATAATAATTTTAATGGGTCAATCACTTCTGGTTTAAGCACACAGCACAAACTTCACTTGCTTGGAAATAAAGGCAAAGTTTGTGTACAGTTGGTATATATATTACTTGAGCTCCCTGACAAGTGCACAGTTCCCAGCACTCTAAAGCTAGCAGTGCTGTTTTACTGAGAAGAACAGTATATACCTCATTTCAAAGCCATTTGATTGATTGATTGATTGATTGATTGATTTATATCCTGCCTTTTTCCTACAAAGGGCTCAAGGCAGCTTACATCATTCTCCTCCTCCATCTTATCCCCACAACACCAACCCTGTGAGGTAGGTTGGGCTGAGAGTCTGTGACTGGCCCAAAGTCACCCAGTTGGCTCCGTGGCCGAGCGGGGACTAGAACCCAGATCATCTGAGTCCCAGTCCCATGCTCTTAACCACACCACCACACTGGCTCTCCCGATGGAAACTGCAATGGAGGCAGCCTCCCAACCCAAGTGTACTATACCTCGCACTAGGATGAGTGAGTCTGTCAGTTTCAGTTTCTCTTATGTTCACATGAAAAAAAAAGAACTCCTGTCCCTTCCATATGAAGAAATGTGTGCAATTTGGTTATGGACTGTAATAAAATTCTAGCTCATCTATACTGACCAAATTCAATAGAAAAAATATTCCCAGCATGGGGAGGACTGTGGACATCTTCACTCCTGTTGTAAAGATGAGGAGCCTCTCAGGGGAGCAGACAACCCTGATCCAGCTCTAATATGGCTGAATATGCAGGGAATCCAGTCCAGACATTTGCAAAGCAAGCCCCAGGACTTTGATGGATGTGTCTGTCAGTTTTGGTTTCTCCTCCAGGTTCTTTCCATCTCAAATAGAGAGCCAGCCAGTGCAGGGTAGTAATGAGAGTGCGTTTATTTTATTCATCCATTATTATATTTCTACCCTGACCATCAGTCCAAAGGCTCCCTTGGGAGTGGAATGGGGGAGACTTTGTGATGAGGCTCCCCAGGTGACCTCAGACCCAAACTCATGCAGCACAATTTCCCTCATTGGTGAGGAGGGGCTCTGTTGAGGACAAGGTGGCATAAAAATGTAACAAATAAACAGGTGCACATAGAGAGTTCAGATGTGTTTGCTAGCATATTCAGGCTTTCCCCACTGCCAGCAAGAACTGAATGACCAGGACCACCACTCACATTAAAAAAAGAAAGAAAGAAATCCACTGGTCAGTCTGAGCCCTTTGACTCATCTGAAATGGCTCTTTCGATCCTACCCAAGGCCTTTGTTTTCTTTATTGCCTCACTTTTCAATAAAAGGTTTTTATTTTCTCTATCTAGCCCTTGTGATTGAGATCAAACTACATGCACCATGAGTAGTGTCAATAATATAGTTTGCTAATTAATATTCTTTCTGTGTTTTAGGAAGTTGGAAGCATCATTGGAAAGGTAATGTGTTAAGTTATGCTTTTTATCTTATGCTCTGTGCTTACCTGCACTTGTGCAAGGGCTTTTCTCTCATTTCCCTTCTGAGCTGGTTCCTGAGTACACATAAACCACAGTAGGGGGTTTGCTGAAATGGGAGGTTCAGGTGGGCATTCTGTGTCTATTTACAGTCATTCCTATCCTCCCTAAGCTTTAACCTCTTCAGAACTACATTGAACTGTATGACAATACTCTTCCATATGCATAGCTATATTTATAGGCACAGGGAAATGCGAGAATCATAGATTTAGGAGGAACCACAGAGATTGTCTAGTCCAGCCATCCACTCAGTGCAGGCTTTTCAATGCACATTCCATCTACTGCATCTCTGACAGAGGGCTTCTGCTTAAATACTTCTTAAGAAGGAGATCCTACCACCTCCTGAGACAATCTGAGCAGTGCTTGCCGTTTGGAAATTTCTCTCAATATGTAGCTGAAATCTGGTTCCATGGATTTTCCACCTGCCATCAGGAGCAACAGAGATAAACTGTGCTCCATCCTCTGCACAACAGAAAATTCAGATATTTGAAGACAGCTATAATGTCTTTCCTCAATCTTCTCTGCTAGATTATGTAGGAAGAAAACAAGGGCACAACCAGAATGAACTTTGATGTCTCTGCACCAATGCCCAGAATATGGGAAACTAACAACATGAGCTTGAGCTCGTAGTACATGAGGGTGATCATTATCTTATAGCAATAACTGAAACCTGGTGAGATGACTCACATGACTGGAACTCTACAATTGATGGATACGACCTGTTTAAGAAAAATATAAAGGACAAAAAGGGAGGTGGAGTTGCACTATATGTAAGAAACACATATATCTGCACAGAAATACAGGAAGAGGGACTTAGTAGCCCCATTGAAAGCACCTGGCCAAATTTAAAGGGAGCAAAAAATAAGAAAAACCTAGCTATTGGCATCTATTACCGACCACCCAATCAAAAAGAGAACAAGGATGCACCCTTTGAAAAGCAACTTGCCAGCATTTCAAAGAAGAATGAGGTAGTCAGCACGAGGGACTTCAATTTCCCTGATATATGCTGGGAGACAAATTCTGCCAAGCATGGCCCCTCCAAGAGATTCCTGACACAGGAATCAGGACAGGAATCAGGATTGTCAGCAAACACTGTCTTGCCGATAACTTCTTCCAGCAGAAAGTAGAGGAAGGTACGAGAGGATAGCTATCTTTGATTTAATACTAGCTAACAGGAATAGCCTGGTGGACCTAATAACAATCATGGGAACTCTGGGGGGAAGTGACCATGTGATACTTGAATTCCCAGCTATAAAGGAGAGAAAATTAACTGCGACCAAACATGCATCCTGGACTTCACGAAAGCCAAATTTAACAAACTCAGAACAATAAGTGCCATGACAACACACCTTTAAGAGAAAAGGAGTCCAAGAGGGGTGGGGAATCTTGAAAAGGAAGGTTCTCCAAGAACAACTACGAAAAGTTCCTTCAAGAAAAACATGTAGAAGAAAGCAGAGGAAGCCCATGTGGTCCACAAAAAGCAAAGTGACAGCCTGAAAGAAAAAAAGAACATGTACAGGAAGTGCAAGCAGGGCCAGGCCACAAAGGAAGAGTATAAACAAATAGCAAGGGATTGCAGGGACAGCATCAGGAAGACTAAAGCAGGAAATCAGCTGAGAATGGCAGTGGATGCTAGGAACAACAAGAAAGCCTTCTTCCGATACATCCAGAACAAAAGACATGCGAAAGAGAAGGGTGTCCAGCTATTTAAAGTGGATGGTAGAATAATAACAGATGACAAGAAAAGGCAGAGGCACTCAATTCCTACGTTGCCTCAATTGTCTTCCACAAGGAAATCTACAACTGTGACTATGAGGAGGGAGGAGCATGCTAAAGACGTCTTGTTCCCTTACTTCCATGAGAAAAGACATGAGGAAGCCAGCCCACTCACCGGGCCTCTTAATTGCCATTTTCAACTTCCACGGCTGTGCTGCCGAAGCCCTGGCCTGCTCCAGCCCTCCTCTCTCCTGTCTCTATGACGACGAGCGACGTCGCGCCTGCAGCAACGGGGAGCTGTGTGTCGTCGCCACAGGGTTTCCCCTCGCTGCTTGCATCTGCCTGCATGCAAGCGGCGGCCAAACCAGCCTGTCACAATCTCCGTGCACATCTCTTCCTTCGCCTGCCCCCCCCTCCTCCCCCTTCCCTTCCTCTGCTTCCTCTTTATATCCTCCTCTCGCGCACCACTCCACCCTTGACCGACAAATGGTCAAGGAATAGCTAGATGGAATAAACACATTCAGATCTCTAGGGCCTGATTAACTCTATCCCAGAGTCATAAAAGAGCTAGCGGAGGAACTCTCAGAACCACTGGCTATTCTCTTTGATAAATCTTGGAAAATAGGAGAAGTTCCAGTCGACTGGAGAAGGGCTAATGTTGCTTCTATCTTCAAAAAGTGGGAAAAGGATGATCCTGAGAACTATAGACTTCAATCCCTGAAAAAGTTCTGGAGAAAATGATTAAAAACTCTGTCTGCAAGCATCTTGAAGAAAATCTAGTGATTAAATCTAGTAGTCAACATGGATTTATCAAAAATAAATCCAGTCAGACTAATTTAATCCCATTTTTTACTGGGTAACCACCCAAATGGATAGGGGGAACTCTGTGGACATAATCCACTGTGACAGTAGCAAAGCTCTTGACATAGTGCCAAATAACATTCTGATAAGCAAATTAGCAATAACTGGACTAGATGGAAAAACTATTAGGTGGATCCAAACTGGCTGCTAAATTGGACACAAAGAGTGCTCATCAATGGCACTTTCTCAAATTGGATGGAGGTAACTAGTGGCATGCCAAAGGATTCAGTCCTGGGACCAGTGCTCTTCAAGATCTTTATTAATGATTTAGGTGAGGAAGTACAAGGAAAGCTAATCAGATTTGCACATGATACAAAAATGGGTGGAATAGCACACGCCCTGGAAGACAGAATGAAGATCCAGGGTGACCTTGAAAACCTTGAACTCTGGGCTGAAAGCAACAGAATTAGATTCAGTAAGGACAAGTGCCAAGGTCTCCACCTAGGAAAAAGAAACCAAATGCATTGATACAAGATGGGGAATACAGGGATCCACAGCAGCAAGAAAGAAAAAGATCTCGGAGTAATTGTGGCCAAAAGGCTAAATATGAGCTAACAATGCAATGCAGCAACAAAAATGGCAAATGCTATTTTGGGATGCATTAACAGGAGTATTACTTCCAAATCACAAGAAGTAGTAGTTCCTCTATACTCCTTACCAGTCAGACCTCACCTGGAATACTGAGTCCAGTTATGGGCACCATGATGTAAGAAAGATGCAGAAAAATTAGAAACGGTCTATGGGAAGGCAACAAAAATGATCCAAGATTTGGAAACACTGTCCTACGAGGAGAGACTGAGAGAACTGGGCATGTTCAGCCTTGAGAAGAGAAGACTGATTGGGGACATGATATCCCTGTATAAGTACCTTAAAAGTTGTCACAAAGAGGATGGTCAAGCTTGCTGATGCCAGATCATACGACACGGAATAATCGATTCAAGTTGCAGGAACCCAGATTCAGGCTGGACATCAGGAAAAGCTTCCTCATTGTCAGAGCAAAATGACAGTGGAACCAGCTGCCTAGAGAGCTGGTGGGCTCTCCCACACTAGAGACATTCAAAAAGAAACTGGACAGCCTTCTGAGTGGGATGGTGTAAGATGGTGTCCTGCAACAGCAGGGGGTTGGACCTGATGGCCTTCATAGTCATTCCAACTCTGCTATTCTATGATTCTGTGATTCTCTTCTACATGATAAATAGATTTTAATAGTTCTTTCATTCATTTCTCATAGGCCTTTTTTCCTCAGTATCCAACTTGTGAATGTCCTTCTGAAAATTGAATACCCTGAGCTGCACACAGTACTCCACATACAGTCTGACTGATACAACATAAAACAGAACAAGATACTTGTTCAGACCTTCACCTGAACCTGCAAGGGCTTATAGTGAGTGCAAAGTTCAGGCAATGTACACTGGCCCCTTCTCCTATGTCTTCAGGCACACCATTCCTATTGATCTCATTTACTGCTTGAACCATGCTGGCAAGGTCTAAAAGGGAGTTCTGTTCAGAGAATCATAGAACAGTAGAGTTGGAAGGGGTCAGTAAGACCGTCAGGTCCAACCTCCTGGTCAGTACAGTTCTCCAAGTTGAAGCATCCCTACAAGATAAGCTGTCCAGCTGCATCTTGAAGGCCTCCAGTGTGGGACAGGTCACATCCTCCTTCAGTGAATGGTTCCATTATTGCTTTAACCATGAGGAAACTTTTCCTTAGGTTCAACCAGATTCTGTTTTCCTGTATCCAGGTCCTGCACTTAGGAATGTTTGAGAGGAGAACCTGCCTTTCCTCTTTGCAACAGCCTTTCAAGTACTTGAAGAGAGCTATCATATCTTCCTTCATTCTGCTCTTCTCAAGGCTAAATATGCCCAGATCTTTCACTCTCTCCACAAATGATTTTGTTTCCACTCCCCTGATCCTCTGCTCCCCCCACCCCTTTGCCTCTTCTCTCTGTCACTCTTCTGGCTCCTGTTCCTCACCTTGCTGTTGTACTTCTGCAGCTCTCCCTAAGAATTCTTCATCTTCTCTTCTTTCCTTGAGAACAGATACTTGCCACTTGAGTACACTCACCTTTTTCTTCCAGCAGGGCAACCAGTGTGCAATTGCTGCTCATGTAGGCCATGTTGATCTCAAGTAAGAAAACAAACCTTGCACAGACCTGACAGGCCACCAGCCCTGGGAAGTCTTTTCTGCCCATAAGGTCTATCCACTCTTTGATTCTACCTGATTACACGGAAAGGCCCTGTGTTCTGTTCCGTCTTCCCTGAAGGCTAACAGCAGAGTCCCTTTCCTTTTGTCTCCCTTTCTACTACAAGAAACTCCTGCTGCCAAACTCCTGTTAGCTCACCCTGCTCACTTGCTTTGATCGCTCATTCTCTGAAAGCTGGCTTGCTTGTATAGTCCATGCACCGACTGGAGCAGTTTCTCCTGCTCTGCTCAGCTAGGGGTCAGGAAACAGAATTTTGTTTGAATACAAATGGGAGTTCCCACATGATCACAGAGCCTGGCTTAACATGGTTTCCATTGTGTGGAGAATTGGACTCACATTCAAGTGAACTCTGATCCAATACTGTAAGGTCTGAACTGCTGTTCAGTGCACCCACCATGCATGGACCAACCTCTAACTCACGTTATGTTCTCATGTGTTCAGGCAAATGTTTCAGTGAGACTTACTACTTTTCATGAACTGGACACTATCTTTCTGTCAATGCAGCCCAAGATTGCATTAATTTTCTTAGCTGCTGCATTGCAGTGCTGGCTCATGTTCAGTTTGTGAACCAGTAACATATCTAGTTCTTTTCACATGTGCTGCTGCCAAACCAAATCTCCACCATAGATCATGGAGATCATCATGTCTCCAATGTATTCAAGGACCAGCTAGAACATGCATAATTTTGAGTAATGTTCATTTAATATTATAAGAAGGATCTTCATAATTTTTAAGATAGTTAATTATTTTTCATTTCAAAACTTCTCAAAATCACCTATTCTTTCCTTCAAAAAGGTCATATTCAGATGGTATGCTAAACCAGGATTCTGGAGAACCCTGGATTGTTTGAACATGGCTGAAGCCTGTTGGATTTTTCTAGGTTTCTTCTGGCTAAACAAACCAGGCACTTTGGAGTTAGTATCTCGTCCAGACCAGGGATCCTGATTTGTCACTCCGTCAGTAAGCCCAGGATTGCACACCAGGGTTAGAAACATAGAAACATAGCAAGTCATCAGGGGCATTCTGGGCCATCTAGTCTGACCTCCCGGCACAAGCCGGATCCACTCATAATATCCAACATGTGGGTGTCTAATCTTTCCTTGAATGTCCTCACTAATGGGGCTCCCACCACCTCCCATGGAAGCCCATTCTATATTCTAGGTGTCCTAATCATCAGGACGTACTTCCTGACATCCAACCTAAAACCTGGTTCCTTGAGTTTTGCACCATTGGATCATGTCTTTCCCTCCACCACAGGGGAGAACAGGTCATGAACCTCTACCTTCTTTTTTTTTTTTTAATAAGTTTTATTATTATTTTCTACAAACTAAAAACTAAAACATCAATCATCAAAGACTTCGGACATACTGGGTCAGCCCCCCATTTTTTTTAAATAACTATCCATAGCCATATTCAAATCTATGCATAGTTCTGTTTCTCTAGCCAATAGTAAAAAGAGTTCCAAGTTTGATAGAAATATGTATCCTCTTTCTCCTTCAGAGACAAAGTCAGCCAGTCCATTTCTGCGCAATCTAAGATCTTTTTTAAAAACAGTTCATCAGTGGGTGGTTCTTCACTCCTCCAATGTTAGGCAAATACAATCCTTGCCACAGTGATTATTTGTAGAATCAAATACATTGTTTGTTTATCGACATCATCAGAAACAATGCCTAATAAAAAATCTTCAGGTATTAAAGGTTTTTGTAACATTTCCTCAAACCATTTATGTATTTTAACCCAGTATTTTTTTGCCTTATCACAAGTTCACCACATATGATAAAAAGTACCAGGTTTATGTTTACATTTCCAACATCTATTTGACATATTTGGAAACATTTTTGCTAATCTATTTGGTGATAAATACCATCTATAAAACATTTTATAAAGATTTTCTTTATATGAGGTTGCTAAGGTTACCACGGACATGCACCTTCTGACATCCCTTCACATACCTATAAGTCACTATTAGATCCCCTCAGAGAGTTTGTTCTTAGTTTATTGATCCTGACTTGTAAATGGAGTGACAAGCTGGGATCCCCACTTTCAGATAAAAGCAAGACCACCTTGACCTTTTTGGCACACTAGACAAGGTGATATTGTGGTGCCTCACAGTCAGACCAAATGCCATCCTTTTTTCTCTCTGGCTAGGTCTGGTGGAAGCGATAGCTGCTCCTACTGTCCTCTGTCTTACCTTCTCCCCAGACAAATGCTGCCACCACCACCACCACCACTTGCGTCCACACATACCTCCAGCAATCCTCCTGGCCCTCACGGCCAGAGCCACATCACTTCCTCCCCCTCTCCTCCTCCTCCCCTTTCCCTTTCATCCTCTCCCCAGAGGCATCAACATCCTTCCCTGTTTCCGCCCCGCTGATTCCTGACATGAATGGCCATTCCCAGTGAGGCCTTCTCAGTGAGGTGAGCCAAGAGATCCCCTGAGCCACAACAGCACGTGCTCTCTGACGCCACTTCACCCAGTAAGCCTTGCTCTGGTGAAGGAGCCCGCGGTGTGAGGCATTTGCGCCAGTGCCAGGCAGGCTCTCTAGACACCCTCACGGGCTCCTTTTCTGTTATGGAATTTGCCAAAGCAGGGATTCAGATGATGCGGCTGCCTAGAGAATGTGTTCTTCCCACCTATGCCCGACTTGGAGGAGATCAGGTGGGTGGCCCTTTGGAAAGCTGTGCCAGGCTCTTTCCAGCAGATTACCTGGAATGATTTCCTGGAGCACCAGGCAGACCAGTGCATCACTGAGGGTGATGCATTGGCTCTGTGCACAGTTCTCACAGCGGTAGAAGAACATGAAGTTGCAACTCTCCGCAATGGCTAGGAGCTGGAAGACCCTGTCAGCTGTGGTGTCATCCTCTTATGAACAAACCTAGTTTCCACTGAAGAACTGCACATACCAATTCTTCACAAGACTGCCATTTTTTCCTCTTATCATGAAAGCCCATTGAGGAAAAGACAGGAGAGCTTCAGAACTTTTTTTCTAAGGGTTAGCACTAGGACCCTTTGCCTAGAAGTTCCTGTAAGCTCTTGGATACATAACTTAACACACAGATAAATACCCAGTGTTGCTACACTTTCAACTGGAATTTATTCTGAATATAATACAACATGTATAATAGATTTCAAAAACAGAGAGCAGAAAGGCTGTCACATACACAAAAGAAATGTTAATTTTATTTTCTGCCTCCTGTGTATTATTTGTAGCCTCTGAAGGAGTACAGAGAACTGATGTGCAGGACTGTGGGTGTTTCTTTTACTTGAAAGTGAACAATGTGATTAAAAGGGCTAAAGAGGAATTTACCTGACTTACAAGAGATTGAGAGGGTGCTTGATTTATCACCCTCTAGAGATGCATCAGGAAAGACCTGTCTCATGAAAAATATTTTGAGCTACTCTTTATCAATGTTTATTGGAAAAATAATTCTTCAAAGCAGTGAAATATAAAGGTAGTATAAATCATTGATGATATTTTTGCTAAGCTTGTTTCTAAGGTATTGATGCAACAGCAGATTTTTTTTCCTTTTTCAGAAAGGAGAAACAGTGAAAAAGATGCGTGAGGAGGTGAGCATCCAGACCCTAAGATAGTTCTCCAAAAAGTTACATGAAAATATTACAGTTGCAATCATGCAGATTCCTGAAGAACTTTATAAAAATGAGGGAGGAAAAAATATTTGTGTGTGAGGAAAGTTGCATTTTTTCATTAGTGATTATATTTATGTAGTCATGTTCCACACAGCTCATTCAAAAGAATAGCAACTAAAGAAAGAATCATCTTTCCCTAAGGCAAAAACCCAGTGCAGATAAGCTGGGTGGCTGCCTGCCTTCTCAAAGGTTTTTATAAAAATGTATGTATATGTATACTATATACGTAAATAGTGCACGATTAAATAGGAATTTGAGTCCATTATAAATGTGTGGTGAAAAGAATAAACCATATGCAATTTTTATTTGTACAATAAGACACAATCTTTCCATTGCAGAGTGGTGCACGAATTAATATCTCAGAGGGGAATTGTCCAGAGAGAATTGTAACTATTACAGGTCCCACTGATGCCATCTTCAAAGCATTTGCAATGATTGCTTACAAATTTGAAGAGGTAAGGCAATTGATAACATTGCATTAACTTAATGGATGAGTGACATGTCTGCACAAAACATATTGTAAATTTTGTTAGATCTATGAAAGTATACAGAAAACTACAAAGAAGAATTGTCTTTATGTTATTGAGCTTGGAAAAAGGGGAACTTCAGGCCCCTGCTTGCTCCTTTGCTTCAGTCAGTGGGACTTCAGTCAGAAGGCATTCGACATGGTTTTATTGAGGCTTCCCTAGTTACAGTCACCAAAACTACAATTAAACATCAACCAAAGGGGGATTGATGCTCCATAAACAATAATATGCTTGACTGTATACATACGGAATGAATCTTTTCTCCAGGAAACAATGGATGACTTCAGGACACCCTGAATGAATAGCCTGTGATAAGCCCAGGACAAGTCCTTGCTTCCACAAACAGACCTTCCCCTCGGCTTGTATCTGCCCAGTCCCCAAGTTTTCCTTGCTCTTCAAAGCAGAACCAGCATGCTGCTGATTCGGTCCAGCCCAGGGGTTGCCAATCACGGGAGCAAGCCAAGGCTTTCTTGTCCCAAGAAGGCAGACTTAACTGACCCATGATCTGAGTCCAAAGTGGGAAAAGGATGACCTGGGAACTATAGACTTCAATCCCTGGAAAAGTTCTGGAGAAAATTATTAAAAACTCTTCTCTGCAAGCAACTTGAAGAAAATTTAGTGATTAATAGTAGTCAACATGGATTTATCAAAAATAAATCCAATCAGACTAATTTAGTCCCAATTTTTACTGGGTAACCACCCAAATGGGCAGGGAGAACTCTGTTGACATAATCTACGAGCTTTTACATTAGCAAAGCTTTCGACATAGTGCTGCATGACCTTCTGATAAGCAAATTTGCAAAAACTGAACTAGATGGAAAAACTGTTAGGTGGATCCAAACTGGCTGCTCAATTGGTCACAAAGAGTGCTCATCAATGGCACCTTCTCAAATTGGATGGAGGTAACTAGCGGGGTGCCACAGGGTTCAGTCCTGGGCCCAGTGCTCTTCAACATCTTTATTAATGATTTAGGTGAGGAAGTATAAGGAAAGATAATCAGATTTGCAGACGATACCAAACTGAGTGGAATAGCAAACACCCCAGAAGACAGAAGAAAGATCCAGGGTGACCTTGAAAACCTTGAACTCTGGGCTGAAAGCACCAGAATGAGATTCAGTTAGGACAAGACCATGTTCTCCACCTAGGAAAAAGAAACCAAATGCATCAATCAAAGATGGGGAATATGGGGCTCCACAGAACTGAAAAAGGAAAAGACCTTGGAGTAATTTTGGACAATAGGCTAAATATGAGCCAACAATGCAATGCAGCAACCAAAATGGCAAATGCTCTTTTGGGGTGCATTAACAGAAGTATTACTTCCAAATCATTAGAAGCAGTAGTTCCCCTATACTCCTCTCTAGTCAGACCCCCATCTGGAATACTGTGTCCAGTTCTGGGCACCAAGATTTAAGAAAGATGTGGGATAATTAGAAAGGCTCCAGAGGAGGGCAACCAAAATGATGCAGGGTTTGGAAACACTGCCCTATGAGGAGAAACTGAGAGAACGGCATTTTCAGTCTTCAGACGAGAAGACTGAGGGGGGACATGATATCCCTCTATTAGTACCTCAAAGGCTGTCACAAAGAGGAAGGTCAAGATCTCTTCTTGCTGATACCAGGGTGTAGGATACAGAATAATCAATTCAAGTTGTGACAACCCAGATTCAATATGGACATCAGGAAAAGTTTCCTCAATGTCAGAGCAATATGACAGGGGAACCGGCTGCCTAGAGAGGTGGTGGGCTCTCCCATACTGGAGACATTCAAAAAGAAACTGAGTGGGATGGTGTAAATTGATGTCCTGCAACAGCAGGGGGTTGGACCTGATGGCCTTCATAGCCTCTTCCAACTCTAGTATTCTATGATTCTACGACCATGCCTTGGTGAAGTAGTCTGATTCCTTTCCAAACCTTCTGGAATCAGTTGAGATAACTCAACTTCAAGTCAACCCCTTGTTTTGGGAAATTCAAAACTTTCTGCCTCTCCTTTGATTATCTTTTTGTTAGAATTGGATGAAGAGAATGATGTTTTTATAACCTACCAAATTTTCCACAAATAGTGTTTTAATCATGAAGCCTTAACATTTTGATATATATATTTAAAACAAATTGCCAGTAGCTCCTTAAAAATAGGGGTGGATAGAATTTGTAGACATAGTTCCCTCTTCTGGAAGCAGGGGCTGTGCAAGAGCAGACTTTATAGTCTGGGGAATTTCAAAACAGGAATTGTTTAGCCCCTGTACTGGGGGAAGGTTTAGTGTATATGATGTATGGAATTACATACATCTTAAAGCTGCCCTAAGGAGGAAACTACCTGGAGGAATGTTGTCCATGGGGTCTTGAAGAGTCAGGCATGACTTTGCAACTGGACATCAACAACAAAGGGGAAAACTGGAAAGATCTGTTGTGTGTGTGTTTTGTTAGACATATTTTGTTTGTGAGGAAAGTAGAAAGGATGTCCCCTCATCTTGCCATGGCTTTCTGGGCAATTTCTATGCATACATTGCACAGATAACCTGAAATGTATTATGAGATTTAACTGAATATTATTTTTATTCTTAAATCTGGAAATTCAACCTATGATCCCAGTAGATTCTGAAAGATTTATTTCAGCCTTGTGTAGCTGTGAGACAATGTCCACCTTATTGCTTTAACAACTTAGCCAAGAAAGATAACTCATAATCTCAGAATGTTATAAAAATGTCTGTCTCATTTGTCCTAAGGTGGGACATGTATCACACAGCATTCATATTTATTTATTTATTTATTTATTTATTTATTTATTAGGATATAATTAATTCTATGAGCAACAGCACAGCTACTAGTAAGCCACCAGTAACATTAAGGTTGGTTGTGCCAGCTAGCCAGTGTGGATCATTAATTGGCAAAGGAGGCTCCAAGATTAAAGAAATCAGGGAGGTAAGCTTGTGATTTTCTTATATAACAAGAATGATTTTCTAGGAGGAGTTATGGAAAGACTGCTTTGCAAATTCTCCACTTAGCAGATCCTTCTACAGATAAATATTGCTATGGGTCAAAGCCAGGATCTTATTCAGGTATGTTGGAAAATTGAAGCCCTACATCAGAGCATATGTTTTTATACAAGCCAATTCAGTTGTGGTAACAATGATTACACTATAGAAATGATGCAATAAAATAAATAAAAACATAATTAAATTATTTACGCATTTCCCAGTATTTTGCCAAAAATATCTGGATTATTGGAGGTATCATGTGAATTGTAAAGTATAGACATAGCTGCCATTTCATTGCAGAAGAAATCATCATTAATACAGTAACATTAAAATAACACATCAGTTCTAGGGAGTGCTCCCCAGTGCTTGTAAGCCCTAGACATCAGATCCTTATAAGCATCCTATATAGCACAGGAGAAGGGGCAGGAGTGGCCCCGTCTTCACACCTCCTGCTCTGCATTTTCCTTTTTTTAGAATAGAGTAGAAGAGAAGAGGGAAGCAGAGGATACAGGGTAGCTCCCCTCTCCACCTTCTGAAACATCTCCCTTAAGCCCTCTCCTAGACTGAGCTCCCTCTCTTGGAGAGGCACCAGCACAGTTCTTGCCAGACCGATAACGGTTGTGGGAGGGGATCGGAGTATAGACTGGAGGAATGGGATGAGCCCTTTCAGAATCCATCCATCTAGACCTCCTCTCATGCTTGGCCTGCTCTTGCCCAGTGAGCTGAGCCAAGTGGAGAGGAAGTTCATGAAGTCCACCAGCACAAGCAGCAAACTTCCCCATCAGGTGCAGCTGCCCCAACAGTGACTGCAGGGTGCGGCAGAGGGATGCTGCCAGCAGTCACGCAAGGAGGCATTCCTGGTGGCCACAGAAGCCAGCCTTCTTCCACATCTGGTGCAGCCAGCAGAGGCTGCACTGGGCACAGAAGAGTGGCGCTACTTCTGCAAATGTATGGGGCTCGACTCCTGGCATGCCCCTCACAGGAGCCGGGCACACTCACCAGGAACTCAGACGCAAGGCTGCTGCAAAGTGGACCACATTCCAGGGAGCGGAGCCCAGGGAATCCAATGGATTCCCACCCGCAAACAGATTCCTTGTACATCTCTAATAGATTGTTTCTGGCCTCAGATCTGGGAATCAGAAGTGAATTATGCCCGCCCCCGCTGCCCTCCAGGTGATGTCTAAGGGCTATTGGATTGCTCTCTCGGTGTTTTTAAAGAAAATAAGCAATTGTCACTATTTGGGGAGGGGTATTTTGGCTTTTGTTTTTTGGTCCTAAGACTGACCTATAACAACCGGTAAAATCATACGTGATTGAATGGGAAAGTAGCTTTTGCTTTTCACTTCACTCGTACAAGATTATGAAGCGGCATCAAATCAAGGTCCACCTAGTTCAAGGTCTGTTCACACAGTGCCTGGCCAGCTTCCCCCAAGCAGAACCTGAAGGCAACAACACTCTTTGCTCTTGTTCCTCCCAACTGTTCCCCACTATACCTGCACTGCCTCTGACGGTGGAATTAGTATTTACCTAGTGGGACTCCGTGAATCTGTCCAATCCCCTCTCAGTGCCATCCAGACCAGTGCTCATCACTTGGTCATTTGGAAATGAGCACCATGGTTTTCACTATGCACCCTGAGAGAAAGCGCTTCATCTTATGTGTGCTAAATAGCCCACCAATCAGCTTCATGACATTACGTGAGATGGAGACAAATACCTTCCTATTTACTTTCTCCATGTGCATAACTGTGTATATCATTTTTATGCTGAACAGTTTCAGACACTAATCTTTCCTCACAGCTCGTTGACCCATTTTTGTTGCCCCTTTCTGTACTTTTCCCAGCACACACTGATTGTATCCCAGTTTTCTGTTGCCTGCAGAGAACTAAGCAAAGTAGATTTACTTGTTAATTTTTCCCTCCTTCCCTCCTTCCCTCCTTCCCTCCTTCCCACCTTCCCTCCTTCAGTCAACAGGTGCTCAGGTTCAAGTGGCAGGGGACATGCTGCCCAACTCCACAGAGAGGGCAGTGACCATCTCAGGGACCCCCGATGCAATAATCCAGTGTGTCAAACAGATCTGTGTGGTGATGCTGGAGGTACAGTCTGTAACAATGGGGGTAAAGTATACAGGAAAATGACTGAAAACCTGGATAATCTATATTGCTTGTAATTCCACATTTGTCACTGACTGATATTGTTATACATACTTGTACGTTAAAGCATTACATACTAATCACAGTTTTAATGCATCTTTGGATAACATGAAGTATAAGATGGTTCTAAGAAGACTTGAAGTAAGTAGCCCATCATGTATAAAATCAGAGGAAATAGAATAGCCAGAGGAGTTAGTGCAGTGCAATGTCCAGTGGTCACAATCCTTAGATACAAACTGCACAATGTGGAATATGGCTGTGGTGCTTTGCTATAAAAGAGCTACATTCTTCAGAAACCTGGGGTAATTAAGAAGCAAGTACACTCTTGCTCAAGTAAGCAAGCAAGGCCATCGCTTGTATTCTTATTCATTCATCTCCCTGCAGTACATGTACTCTTCGGACCAAATAGATATTTCCAGCATCAAAATTGCCCTGGTTTCTGTTTGTCTCTGTCGGGCACTTTCAGAGAAAGTATAAATTCATTTCAGAGTTCATTTTTTCAAGCAACAAAAAGGAACCTGCAGCTCTCGTGTGTGTGCAGGAGCGTGTGTACCTGCGTGCATGTGTAACTACTAGAAGCGAGAATTGAGAGCGCCACATGATGTACAGCATCATTTACAAGTGGACTGTGAAGCAATCAGTCAGGTATGGTGCTTGAGAGATGGTTCTGTGATGGCAGCAGGAGAAAGGGAAACCCTTAGAAAGTCAAGAAGAGGAGGTTGCTCTGGTTCGAAAAATGAGTACATGCCACATTAGCTGCCGATCCAGAACCTACAAACTGAACTTTAAATAGACAGTCTAAACTAAAGCAAACTAATCCCATCTTCAGCATTTCCATTTTTGTCATGTCATTAGTGTACTCCTAAGCTCGCCAGGCCCTGCATCATTCCAGAAAGCCATTGCCCACATCCCCTACATGCACTGCATTGTGAATAAAGCAATGGACTACTTTAACTCTTGCTAGAATTCTTCTCTAACGGTGGTTCCAGCGTTCCAGTTTCCCCATTTATGTTTCCCCCCATTAAAAAAAGTTTTGTGACCTGTAGACTGTGAACATGCCTCAGACTCCCAGGTGACTAGTCCATGTGGCACAGCACAATCTCCTCTGGCTGCAGGACTGTGCCCTTGGAAGGGTTTCCGGGAGCCAGGAGACCCTGTGCAAGTTGCACCTCAGATCACAACATGCAGAGATATAGAATAGAGGGCTATAGCAAGGGTTACTGAAAGAAGGTATGTGATGTACTTTAAACACAAGAAGACTACATATTACTAAATGTAAACTCATTTCTGTGTGATTATTTAGTGACTTACAGCAGTGGAAATGAATGTGTGGTATGGCCTGAACTATAAGTGTTGGCTTACTCTTATTTTCTTTTTGCTAATGTTTCAGGAAATTTGGTCTAATGCTCTCTCTCCCTCTCCTTGTCCCTTTCCTAGTCCCCACCAAAAGGTGCCACCATTCCCTATCGCCCAAAGCCCGCCTCCACCCCTGTCATTTTTGCAGGTGGTCAGGTAAGAGCCGACCCGCTTGCAGCTTCCACTGCCAACCTCAGCCTTTTACTGCAGCACCAGCCGCTGCCCGTTAGTGCTCTCAGGTTTTCTCACCTTTTCACTTGCATGGTGTCATCCCATTTACCTTGTGCCAAAGCAAATGGACTCAAAGCTCTTTGTAGGCAGAACTGCTTCACACCAGGTGTAACTGCTTCCTTCACTTGAAGGGCAGCTTGAAAACCACTTGGCTCAGCTAAAGTGGCCCAGTTCAGAAAATACCACCCCTACGGCTATTGCCTAAGAAGAGAACGCTTTTGCCCAGCCTGCCCACAGGGCATACTTACCCTTTTACACATCTGTTCCTGGCCGTGATCTTTGAATAGGCTACAGGTGTGTAAAATCTAGCCCCAGAGGACCAGACAGCAGCACTGATAATGCACTCTTGTCTGACTGACAGTATTGATAAGCCAGGCTATAGCCAAGTCCTCAGGGAAGACCTGGGAATCGGCACCCTGCATGTGCACACATTGGATGTTATATACTTGCAGCCTGTTCAGACAAGGGTGTCTGGTGACTATGGAGGTAGGACAAGCGAGTTGAATGTGTAGGGAGTGAAGACATGTTCTTGCTGCCCAACCATGGGAAAGAAAGGAGGGTGGAGCATCTTCTGAACCAGGCCGCATTCTATGTACTGCAGAATCGTCAAAGAAATCTTGGCATCAGAGCTTTTCTAGGCAAGACTGTCAATCTCCATCCACTTTCACCTTCGTAACAGAATTGAAATCCAAGTGCTACAGTTTTTCCTGTCCTGTGTTCCTGTAAGCAGTGGTGTGCTGTAGCGGAATAATGCAGTTATACAAGCCTTTCCTCACACTATCAGCAAAAATGGCCCACTTTTCCCGTTCTTTTAAAATAAAGAATACTGAAAAAATTGGCTGTATGATCACAACATCTTGTGAAGAACCTGTACAAACAAGTGCATAGTGCATGACAAATGCATAAGAAAGGCCCTTATGGAAAAGCCCGTAGCTGCTCGTCGTGTGCTACACATCTTTCCCCTTCAGGCTCAGCTGAGTGCTGCTGGCGCTCCAAGGTCTTTGTCTTAGTTGGGTCTTTTCAGCGCCTGGCAATTTACACAAAAGCACAATAAGGAGAAAACCAGCAAAACTACCCACAAGGCAAATCAGATCATAAAATGCTTCTGAGGTTGTACTTATAAGCAAGCCCCACTTATAAGCAAGCCCCAACTCAAAGGGACTTGCCTTTGCATAGACATACACAGGATAGTACTGTAAATGTTTAAATAGTTCAGTGGGGTGGTGGAGGGGGGATCCTATAAATGTTTACGAAGAAAAAGCTGCTATGACTCCCAGCATTCCTCAGCTAGCTTGACTGTCTAAATATTAATCAGTTTGTATATTAAAAGTGCCTTCAGAAGGAATTCCCAGTGCACAAGGTTCTGTTTTAAATGTATTACCCAGTCTTGAAAATGTTTTAATTTAAGTGGTAATATATGAATTAATCTCAATTTTCTGTAGAGCCTGTAATGGTACTTTGGCATCTAATTGATTTTTTAAAAAAATCATATAATTTCTGTAGCCAAAACTGGTACTCCAAAGACAAGACAGAAAACCATACAGTATTTTTAAACAAATTAATTCTATGCTTCCTTCCATAACAGCTTCAAGAGGAGGGTTACACTGGGGAATCACCAAGGGCTATTCAGCTCCCCTGTGCCATTGCTGAGTATGAATTAGATACCAGCACCACCAGCCTTCCAGGCTACTTTTGAAGAAGAAAGTTAGGGTGAAAGTTCCAGTCATGGAACTCGAATAGGCTGTGCAGTGTGGCTTAACAAACAAGTGTATTTTTAGTATTAGTTACTATGCTAGCTGTGAGCTTAAGTGGACTCCGGGGGATGGTGGAGGACAGGAAGGCCTGGAGGAATGTTGTCCATGGGGTCGTGAAGGGTCGAACACGACTTCGCGACTAACAGCAACTATGCTAACATATGCCCTAGAAACAATAGCCATTTATTTATTTATTTGATCGATCGATCGATCGATTGCTCTCCTGCTCCATTAACCTGGGTGGGTATAAGGCTATTCTTGGTCGATCACACCTCACTGACACCTCTTTGGTCTTAACTAGAAATTGGTGTCTTAGATAACAGTCTGAGAGCTACTGGGTAGCCTGGGGCACCACATATCACCTCCATGCCCACAGAGATGGCCTTGAGTCCAGAGGAACAGATCCCTGCCCACCCACAGTTCCTCCAGAAAATCCTTTAACAAGGGTGCAAGGGCAACCTCTCTGCAGAAAGGGGGCTTAAGGAAAGGGGGGTGTGCTTGGGGGAGGCAGTGGGAAGACATATATGCAGAATTCTCTGGCCCCTCCAGTCTCCTCCCCACCCACGGATAGACAAGTCAGCCAGACATGCCCAGAGGCCCATCTAGCTGGTTTGTGCAGTTCAAACAAACAAACAAGCGCTTGCCAGTAGTACATAGTACAGCAAAGAGCTCCAGTGTGGGACAGACTCCCACAAGGCACTTGTGCCTCCATTGCTGCTTTTCCAGTCTGCCAATTCTCTTCTGCAAGTGGTGGGTCCCTTCAATTTTGTTGGGCAAGGAGAATCCACCTGTTTTGCAGGGGAGGGTTAATGCTTTCAGTGGAAAGTCTAATGTGAGTTCCACCATCCTGCTTTCTTTCAGCAATGGGCATTTCTACTTGTTTTAGGCTGCCTTGGAAGCACTGAATTGCCATTGCACAAATGGTGAGGGCTGTTCGTGCAACACAATTAGCAGGACAAAAGAGATTCAGTGGGGATATAAGTGCCTCATTGGGTTCTGTCCTCACATCCCTCAGTCTCGTAGAGCACAACCCATAGGATTGAACCCTTTTGCTCATTCATTACATTGTCTCTGTTATAAACAGCCCATTTTAAATACGGTATTAATTTTACATTGTGGAGAACACAACTAACACCATGACTATCATTATCATCTTGCACAAATATAGCCACTTTTCTTAAATACAAACCTGGTGAAAGAGCTTTGGGTCTACTTTTGCTTTTCAAAAGGGAGAGTAAGTCAGAAGGAACAATACTAAATCCCAAGAACAAATGAAGCATTGAGCAGAAATTACGATGTCAAGGAAAGGAGGTGGATAGGGAAGCTCATTCATTCATCCGTTTGGAAGACTTTTTAGCCCTTCTGGAGAACACTAGTAGTGAGAGCAGCAGCAGCAGCCTGCCGTTCTGCCAAGGCTGCTGGGGCAGTAACATTCAACCAGGAATTTCATTAAAACAATGGCAAATGAACCAACTACACAATCAATGACATACTTCAAGAAATGGCAAAGCACAAGCATGGGAAAGGACAAATCCGTGGCTGCACCCATCAAAAAGAGACATTTATTTCAGAACCATTAGCACCATTACTGGAGAAAATAGAATTTGCACCAATATTGGCATTGGATCATGCTCCAATAAAAACAACATGGTCTACTAAAATCTTTGAGAATAAATCTAAAGTTTGGAAATTAAGTACAAGTATTTGTACAAGTACAAATCCAGAAATTATTCTAAGAATTAGAAGGATATTTACATCTCAGAAATGACTTTCCCCTAGTCTGGTAAAGTGAAGAGCAATCAATTTGAGAACCATTGTTAACTATTGAAAGCGGTAGACTCAAGCATTAATTCTGCCACTGGCTGGTATTGCATCAGATGGTAAAAGCTTGTGAAGATAAAAGCTCATAAACTCTGAAATACTGTACATCAGTGCTAAATACATTAATTGGCAATACATTAATAATGTCAATATTAGATTATATATGACAGAAGACCCTTATTCTCCTATTGGTTTGCCACAATCTTTTGATAACTTAAGTATGTCATTGGACCTGCTGTTTGTCCCAGGAAAACCCTTCCTTTTTGGCTATAGTTTCTGTCCCCTTAGAATTTGAAGGTTGGGATTCTGTATATAGTTTAGTCCCTGAGGTGAGATACCATATAATACATTTCACACAACCTTTTCTCAAAAACCAGTTTGTACAGTGTAGTGATGATGCTCACCTGCTCCTTTTTAAATCATTCTTATCATCGATACGAATTCAGCCATTTGAAATATGATTTTTCTTCAGGCCAAATGGTATTGCACTGTGCCCTCCCCACAACACACACACACACACACACACGTGCATAGTATCTAAGGCAGGCCAATTTACTTTGTCACCTAAGACCAACAAGTACCTCTACCCAGGAGTAAAAATACAATAGCAATGCTAGAGCTATTTCTTTGATATTAATCCCAATGAATTCAATGGGACTTGCCTGAATAAACACGAACAGGATAGGATTGCAATGGAAACAACTAACAATTCACTGCCCTTTAATCACACCCAAAAGTAGCTGCCTGAGGCAACCGCCTCACTCTGCCTTATGGCAGAGCCATCCATGGGAAGTATTTTTTGTTGTTTTCCCTTAGCGTTCCTGTCCCACCATATTTGAAAATAAGCACTTGAACGCAAAACTGAAAGGATAGGTCCAAAACTATCAAATGTCAAAGAATGAAATTTTAAAAAATGATGACTGCCACCCCCAAAAAATACCTGATAGGTGATACGAGGTGGTAGCTGCAATGTACAGAAAATCCCTGTACTTTCCTGTACAGTAAGAAATGCCATGTCTTATGGTACACGGTTTCATAACTCAAGATGCTTGCCATCCCTGCAGAATGACCAAAAAAGACCTCTAAAATACCATGGTTCTCCTTGAACCCATAAAAGTTTTATGGAAGCATTTGTGGTAAAGAGCACTTGTTCCTTCTACGATGCCTTATATATACAAAAATGACATCTTCATTTATTTCATATATAACCCCCCCCCCATTTTTCCAGTAAACCCAAGATGGTATATTTGATTCCCATCTTCTCTGTTTTCATTCTCAAAACAACCCTGTAGTGTAAGGTAGGCTGAGAGTCAGTGACTGAACCAAAATCACCCAGTGAGCTTCACAGTCAAGTGGAGATCAGAACTTCGACACAAAACCAGTCATCTCTCCTTTGAGGGCATACTGGAGATTGCTTTATCTCATGCAAGTTAACGCCCTGGTCTGTACTCTAAGAACCAAGTATTTTCATATTTGTACTTATTAACATATTTTTTTTCAAAAGGCGGCATTCTATTATACCCAAGATACTGCAGGTTTTAGGATTCAGACAGCCCGATTTTCTATGCCAGAGTGTGGAACTTGTGGCAGTGGTTGCCAGATACTGGTCCAATGCAAGATACATTTTAAAAACTATCTTATGGTGCGAACATGCAAGTTTGTCTCAACTCATCTCTTTTGTGCAAGGACAAATGCTTCTGGGTGACCAGATCGGCATTGTGGCTCCCATGGAGAGCCCCCACAGCTTCGACAGACTCCCTGCTCCAGACTGCAGACCCACATGAGTACAGAGTGCTGAATTGGTGGGCGGAGAGGGCTGGGGCGGTGCATTCCCTCCTCTGACTTACTGCCATTATCCCTTGCTTGATTATCTCAAGAGGGCGACAGGGGGTAAAGTGTTAGGCGAAGGTAAATATCTGGCAGAACTTCCCTCTCTACTTTCAAATGCTGCTCATATCTCCTCAGTCTCCATCTCAGACCCTAACTGGAGGATGTCCTCCAGCTTAGCTGTTCTTACTTTGAAATCCTGCTCCCCTTTTCAAAGGGTTAGAAATCTATTTTCCTTCCTGTCCTTACTCTCCCTTCCCAAGTGGTTGTCCACTTTTATCCCATTTAAATCAATATTATGTTGACATTAACCAATGAGAAATGTTTTTACTAAACAATAAGCTTGTTTGGCAGAAAAATGTATTGATTTATAATTGTTTATAAAGAGTGTTGTCCTTTTCTATTATTTTTCAAGAAAAAAAGATTTATTTTAAGGCAATTTTAGAAATCCCAGACTCTTCATTTAAAATGACAAACACTGAACAAGACAGACCCTTAAATAAAGATAATGATATCCACTTACGAACAGAGGGCCTGGCCCGCTCATAAAAATCAGAGCTCTGTGTGTGTTGCTGCTGCTGTTGTTGCAGCTGCTGCTGTTTTTAACTGAAAGGCCTCTGGGAGTCCTGGCTTTGTGAAGATGAAAATCATGCAGACTGTGCCTATGCGGGAAATGTTCTATTATCATGTATTTGTCAACCAAACATGGCAGATGAGTGGCTATTTTCCAGAATGTGAGCTTGGGATTTTGCATGATAAAAGGGAACATTAAGATAGAAAGTATTTGAAGTGCAACTTAGACATATATTAATTGTATTCATTATCCCAGCCAAAAACTCAGATGTTGATAGAAACATAGAAATGTAGAAACAGAGCGAGTCAGAAAGGGCCTCCCAGCCCATCTAGTCTAACTCCTGGCTCCAGCCTGCTCCACTCATGACATGATCATGGGAAATGAAATATTTTTCTGTCTTAGTTCCTCATTTTTGTAATGAAAATGTTCAGAATAAGGTTATTCTGATGGTGAATCAATGCTAATGATAATAACTGAAACAATATGCTCTATATGAATCAGGTAGCTTGGTGTCATCAAATGGGGCAAAGCACTGAAAGGAACCGACAAAGAATGTATTCCCCTAATGTTTATATCTGAGTACAGACTTGTTCAAATCTGACCTGCCATTTAGTTACTTTAGATGTCATAACATAAGCTCATAAACATTTATTAGTTTCATAGGCCTAATTTGGCTTGATTTTTCCACATTAGAAAGCACTTGCTTCTGAAATTTGTATCAACTGCCCAGTCGGTTCTGGATGCATTATCTGGAAGCACAGTGATCACAGCCTAAAAAGGGTCAAGTATGAGATGAAATGAACCTTTACAAGAGCAAAGAAATTGTGGTCTGTTACTGCAAAAACAATGGGTAAAAGATGCCCAAGATATATTAATATTGTAAGCCTTTCTATCAATTGCAGTGCACTTTTAAAGGGCATGGGTCTGAAGTCTTGTATTTTGAGACCTTTGTTGATATTACTTCATAGTGACTACAACAGTTCTACACACTTATAGTCCACTAAGTAAGGGATGGGGTTCAAATGGGCCTTCATATGTTGTTAGACTGCAACTCACTTTGCCTGAACTGGATAAGGCAAATACAAACACAGAAGCATTGCAAGTCAGAAGGGGCCTCCCAGGCTATTTAGTCTGATCCCCAGCTCCAGCAGGCTCTGCTCATATAATGTCCAAATGTGGGTGTCAATCTTTCCTTGAATGCCCTCAGTGGTGGGGCCTCCAAAACCTCCTGTGGAAGCCCATTCCATATCCTAGGGGTCCTAACCACAGGAAGTACTTCCTGGCATCCAACCTAAAATGCATTCCTTAAGCTTTGCTCCACTTCCACTGGATTGCGTCCTTCCCTCCACCACACGGAAGAACAGGTCATGACCCTCTACCTTGTGACACCCCTTCACATACATGTAAGCTGCTATAAGATCCCCTTGGAGTCTCTTCTTCTCCAGCTGCCTCAATCTCATCTCATATGGCATCCCTTCACAACCTGGCTACCTTGTGACCCTGTGCTGAACTGATTCTAACCTTGCTATGTCTCTTTTGTGACATGGAGTCCAGAATTGGACACAGTGCTCCAGCTGTGGATGCAACAGAGCAGCACTTGCACCTCCCTAGATCTGGAAGCCCTGCTTCTGGCTATACATCCAAGGGTGGCATTTGCTCTCTTAAATGCCATGTCACACTGCTGGCTCATGTTTAGCCTGCTGTGGACAAGTACCCAGTGCCTCTGTAATGTCCAGGGCCCTAAGGAGCTCCTCAGCTTCTAGGGGAATGACACTAATCTGTGCCCCCATAAGCCCAACCTCTCCGGATCCCCCAGGCACATCTTCCCCAGCCTGCTTTGGGAGTTGCAGTCCACCAATATCTGTTTGTTTTTTAACAATACGCTAAACATCTTCCGGGTTTATTTGCATGTTCAAAATGTCTCTGTTGCAGTCCACCAAAATCTGGAGGGTTGCACAAATGTAGTCCACAACTATACATGGCAGCCTGCCATAGGTGACTGCATTTTTGCTCCCAGCCTGGAGCTGCCAAACAAGGGTATTGTCAAGCACATGCATAGCTTAAGGGATCACAGAGTAGCTACAGGTCATTGCTATGTTTGATTCATGGTCTGCCCAGATGAATTTGAAGTAACCTTGTGTGAATATTTGTTTTGGATCAATGGATGTCACAGCCACCACACAGAAGCCAATATGCATATATCTGAATGTGTGTAGAGTTCCTACATTTGAGCCATGCTCTAGAAAAATAGCAGGAAACCTTCTGGGCAAAGAAATGTAGATTTCAGGGTCAGGTTGAGCGGGCACAATTCAGCTCTTTCCACACAGTCCTGTCTACCCAGACTGAACTCTTGCACATGGTCTTCATAAGTATTGTATAATAAATTCTAAAAAATTACAATGTATTTTGGATATGTGGAGGTGCTTACAGCAAACTCTTCTAGTCCCTGGAAGTTAATGACAGGGCCCTTCTTTCTAGAGGAAGAAGATCAGATGCTGGCCAAATAGGGAGATGCCAGCCCACAGAAGCAGCTCTTCTGGTGAACTGCAGATTCCTGGGTGATAATGTTCAATGTCTATCTAAGGGAAGGGATAAAATGTGCACCGAACCCATTTAATGTAAATTGTCACACAAATAGCAACTTTAACTTGGCCTAGATTCTCTCGGACATTGCTTGGCAAATCAGGTTATATAGACCCGGGGCTACAGTGAACTAGATGCAAATATTCTGAAGTGGTGAAGTCATAATCACATTGTTTTTCTGTTTATGGGGTGGTCACTGAAATCTGCCAGGATGTCACAGGCTTGATCAATACCTGAAAGATTGGCCTTTACTAAATGCTAGCTCACCTGGGTGAGAAGCTCACTCAAACCAGTTTTTGTCTGTCTGTTTTTTACATATTTATCCAAACTGCATTTCCTGGGACTCAGTCTAGAAATGATTCAATTTATGATTGAGATTTCCAAGCTATGCATTCTGTGAAAGAAAAACAATGTGCTTGACAACATACCCACATTTGAAAAATACACAAATACACTACTGACATTAATATGCACACTTTAATCCAGGAGAAGAATGTTTCAATTAAAGCATCCAATCAAAATGTGCACAAAAATATGTACGGAATTTTTCTGTTAAAGTAAATGCATACCCAAATGGAACTGGAGCAGAAGAGACGTAGAGGTGGGAAAAGAAGAAAGAAATGAACTGTTTTATTAGGCACATACACCTTGTAGTATTTATGACAATAGACATGGTACATGTGCCTGACTCCATCTAAAATAACAGATGTTTCTAATGCTTTGGTGACAAATGGATCAATGGTGATTTTCATAGAGAAGGAAGGATGCTGTATGGCCAACGACATCCTCCGAGTGTGACTTAAAGCAGTTACTGGACACTACAAACAAATCCTTACACTTCCTGTTCTTGTTTTTCCTTTGCAGGCCTATACAATTCAGGGACAATATGCTATTCCACACCCAGATGTGAGTTTTATCTTCATTGTTTCTTTCTTATGTCACCTGCATGCAACTGTCAAATACAACTCATATTAATATTAGACATTAATATTAATACAGTTTTCTCAAAGTGCAGTATTGGTAAAAGCCTTTAACCTATTAGTGCTCAACTATATTTCCACTGAGGACTTGGCCTGTTGTCAAATTATTTAAATTATTCTGTGCTACCCCTTTGCTAAACACACACACACACACACTATGCATTTTGTGCCTTAGATAAAAAAGCCTTTACCTCTTCATAAATTGCTGGTAATCAGATGCACCATCCTAATCTATCCATATGTTTATGTATGCTACAGATATACCCAAATCCTTATACATTATGTGCTTTTCTCAGACTTTGTTCACTGAGATGAATTGACAATTTGGTCTGTCATTGTAAGATTTTCTCAGTCTTAATGGAAAAGAAGCTTGAATGCCTGGTGATGCTGAAAACCTTCCTCCCAAATTTCTAGGGAAAAGTATGTTTAAATTAGTGGCCAGTATTACTGAACATATATAGTTATGTCTTTAGCAAAAAAAAAAAAAAAAAACCAGTATTATCTCTGAAAAGAAATATAAGGAACACCTAAATGTAATGTGATGTTACCCAGAAATATCTCATGAGAATAGCAGGTACAATCCACCTTCTGTTAGAAGAAGGGGTTTAGGAGATGTAGTAAATATCTGTCTACATTATCTTACTTTAAGAAGCAAGTGGGAGCTCACATTGACTTAATTAAATAGATTCTGTACAGGGGGAAGGATTCTAGCCTAGCCTTCCTGCTGACATGTTTCTTATGTGTGAGAACCTTTTTGTATGGAGGGGCTACCTGTAGTCTGAAAGTATTCAACTAGGGATGGGGGCTAAAGTCATTTGAATGCAAATTTACCTAATCTACTTTTCTTAAACAAATCCTTTGGTATTTGCACTTCTCTGAATTCTGTGATGGAGTTTTCCAATCACAAAATGCATACAAAATGCGTATATAATGAAAGCAAGCAAATATAAGTGAAGCTAATGAACAAAAATGCAGTATGTAAAGGGAAATTGCTTGAAAGTACACATTTTTGACAAAATTCTTACAAGATATATATTGTAGAAATGTACTCAAAAATGGGTATGAACAGGGCAGAATGAAATTAAGATTTAAAAAGTGAGAGAAATAGGAGTGTTTCCATCTCTAAGTTTACCACTTGATGTGAAAATTAGACTTTTGATGACTTGTATCGGTTTGAGTTGTAACAGGAAGAGGATTGAGGGAACAGCTCTAGAAAAGATATTCATTGCACACAACATGGATGTACACCTGATATAGCACCATCAACTGGCAACAGTATGGAACAAGGAACAATGCCCTATACAAATCAGCGGCATGCATCTCTCACAATTATTATGAGCAGTAACCTTCATCTCATGTTTTAAACCATGTATCTAACCAGAAATGGTTCAGGAAAAAACAATAGAAATTGTATGGATTCAGAAAAACTTTGCAGATAATGAGATGCTAATGGTACACTTCTATGTACGAATGCAAGTGGTAACATTGGCTGCATTAAGAGAAGTACAGCTTCCAGATCACGAGGCACCTGTTCACCTCTGTTCGGCAACTGGTTGGGCCCCATCCTGAGTACTGTGTCAAGTGCTGGGCACCAAACCTCCAGAAAGATGCAGGCAGATTGAAAAGGGTTCAGAGAAGGGCAACAAGGATGATCCATGGACTGGGAACAAAGCCCTGGGAAGACAGTTTGAAAGAGCTGGGGAAGTTGAGCCTTGAGGAGACTGAAGGGAGGTGTGATAGCACTGTTCAAATCCTTGAAAGGCTGTCACACTGAGGAGGGCCATGAAATAATGGGCTCAAGTTGCAGGAAGCCAGATTCTGGCTGGATATCAGGAGAAACAGTCCTGTTAGAGCTGTACTGCAATGGAATCAATGACCTAGGGACGGTATGGGCAGTCCCTCACTAGAGGCATTCAAGACGCAACTGGGCAGCCATCTGAGGGGGAGCCATCTGAGGTTAAGCCATCTGGTTTAACTTGGTGACCTGCACTGAGCAAGAAGTTAGACTCGATGGCCTTACAGTCCACTTCTAACTCTATTCTATGATGCTATGCTTTTTTGTCTAATCTGAAGCCACATCTGAAGCAGGTAAGTAAAATTGCGGCCTCTTTTGATTAAAACATCAGCTTAGAAAAGAGGCAGCTAGGAAAAAATAGTACAATATACGCAACTATGAAAAGATGCTTGAGCAAGACATATGAAGAAACTATAAATGCAAGAATAAATAAGATATATGCTAGAGTTTATACACATATAAACTTTCACTTCCAAACTCACTTTGGAGGTGAGACATTTCCATTCAGGATCCAAGATGGGCCCCTGCTTCAGTCTCTGAAGCTTTGGCTGCCTCCTTATCAGCAAATGGCCAGCACTTTTTTCCAGCATTAGGTGACATTTGCAGTCAAACTCACTCCTTCTTGCGGGATAAAGGCTGCCAAATCACAGACCAACAGGTGCGAGGGACTTTGTGGAAGGGCAGCATTTAAAAGGGGTGTGTGTGTGTGTTGGGGGGCAGTTCAAAACAGACATTTGCTTTATCACCATTCATGTCAGCATGGTGTACACGGTAGAAATGCTTCTAAGTACATTTTTCTTCAAGATTTTAGAAAAATAGATGCAAGAGTTGGAAAGTTATGTTGAAGGGAAAACAGTTTGAAACTGTTGTTGTCTTCTGCTCAGTTGCCAGAAAGTGATAGAGGGTGCAATCTTATGCACATTTAAACAGAAAAACTTTGTTCTGTCTAAACATCTTTGATGGAGTGGCTGTATCACACTTTATAAAGAAATTATCTGGCAGTGTATTTGGTAGTACACTGTATAATATACTGCAAGGGACTGGATGTTTTTAAAAGGGCTGATCGTTCTCTTTTGCAGGCTATTTGCTGGTGGTCTTTTCTAAGTTTTAGAAAATTCTAAATACATACACACTGTTTGAGTAGGGCTTGGTGCAGCTATAAAACTCTACCTGCTTGTAAAACCCGTAGCACACCATTGCATCCTAAACTTTAAAGCAGAGAATGTGTCTGGGAGATGAATATCCTTTTCAGTTTTCCAAGGATTAGAGAAAGCTGTCTCATCAGTCTGTGTTTACCTTAAATGCCCTCAGCAGCCTTCCCTCTATATTCTTTCAGGCAGGGGAGTGAAAGGAGACCAGCTGCTAAGCATTACATTATGTAGCAGAGGCTGGTTGGAGCTTTGTAATATGCTGCTGGCAGGCAGGCACCTCCTTTAACAAGATGGTGGTTCCAAGCCTTCCCTGTCTCTGTAAATAGACTTCATAGACTACAGCAAAGCCTTTGACAGTGTGGATCACAAGAAGCTATGGATGGGCCTGAAAGAAATGGGTGTGCCTCAGCACTTGGTTGACCTGATGAGGACCCTCCATCACAGACAAGAAGCTTCTGTGAGAACAGAATAGCTTCTCATAGGCAGAGGTGTCAGACAAGACTACACTTCATCTCCCTCTTTGTTCACTCTGTATGCATGCAGAATGTCATAAGGAAAGCTGGATTAGGATCACAAGAAGGCATGACATTCAGTGGAACATAAATCAGTAATTTAAGAGATGCAAATGATACCATACAGAAAGCAGCAATGACTTGAAATAACTCCCGATAAAAGTGAAAAAGAAAGCACGAAATCAGAACTGAAGCTGAATATTAAGAAAATAAAAATCAAGTCCACAAATAATTACAGAATTGTGCTGTTAATAATGAAGAAATCAATTTTGTGAATAATTTCACTTACCTTGGCTCAGTCATCTATTCAGAGGGAGACTGAAGCCAAGATATTCGAAGAAGGTGGAGACCTGGAAAGGCAGCAATGAAGGAAGAGCATTGGAAAGATCATCAAGTAGAAGGGCATTTTGGTGGAGACCTAGCTCAAGATCATCCAAACTATTGTATTCCCAATCACAATGTATGCATGTGAAAGCTGGACAATGAAGAAAGCCAATAGGAAGAAAATTGATGATTGAAAACATGTTGCTGGAGGAGAGCTTTGTGAATACCTTGGACCAACAGAAAGATAACTGAGTGAGTCCTAGATCAAATCAATCCAGAGCTTTCCCTAGAAGCAAAAATGACAAAATGGAGGTCAACATACCTTGGACACATCATGAGAAGCCAAGACCCATTGAAGAAGACAAGACAAAAGGGAAGACCAAATATGAGATGGACTGACTCCATAAGGAAAGCCACAGCCTCAGATTGGGAGACCTGAATGGGGCTGTCATAGAGAGGACATTTTGAAGGACTTCCGTTCATAAAAGTCAGAGATAACTTAACAACATTTTGCCATAAGTTGGAGATAACTTGACAACACATAACAACAACAACAACTGCTGGAACTTCATATTACCACATATGCAACAGATTCCCAAAAGGTTCCCTTTCCATCCTGCCTCAGTTCCTTATTTATATATTTATTTAGTAGTCAGTTAGTATGAAAATGGCACACATCACACAGGATTCTCCAGGAAGGAATGCTGCAAAGTTTCAGAAGGATAAGTACAGAGGCTGGGAATTGCTCATGAAATCATAGAATAGTAGAGCTGGAAGGGGCCAGAAGGCCATCAGGTCCAATCTGCTGCTCAGTGCAGGAATCCAAGTTATACCATCCCTCTTGATGATCATTGAAGTTTAAGTTATAAGGAAGCCTGGTGGGGTTGGAGGGATAACTATCTCCTGGTCTCATCCTCCCCCAAATCACAGGGATTGGAGAGCCCCTCATAAAACATGGCTTATGATTAGAAGGTGGAGCTGCCAGTCATTCAATCCACTCCCTTCCACAAGCCACCAGAATTTAGACGAACCAAAGCAAGCAACACGGTGTTTTTGTGGTTTTGGTTTTGGAGAGAGAATGCCTACTTTCCCAAGTTATATTGCAAATTTAGTTCTGGTAATACCCAGTTTGCTTTGTAAAGTG